CCGAAAAAAAAAATTAAGTGAAAACAAAATGTTACATAAGGTTTGTATATGTGGTAGTTATTTATTACAATTTAATGAACCATACCAAAGCTTAATGGCTTTAAATAAAAACTATTTATCTCTTATGGTACTAAGTGATTTGTCTTCTTCTTGTGGTGTTGGCTTTGGAACTGGGACGACTGGAAGATCTAAAATAGCTTTGCTCTCAGGCTAGCAAGTTGGTGCTGGCTATTAGCTGGGAGCTCAACTAGAAAGATTTAGCTACCCTCTCCTTTCAGCCTCTCCACCTAGCTGGGTTGGGCTTTTTCCATTGTGACTAGTTTCTCCCATGGTACAGAGTAGGCTTCATTAAGGTTTAGGCCCAGTATTGGCCCACTATCACTTTTGCTGAATTCCATTATTTAAAGCAGCCACTGTGTCATCACAAATTCAAGAGGAGATGGTAATACATAGATATGACAGTCAAGAGGCCAGGATCATCAAAGGCCACCAAAGTAACAGCCACCACAGTATATTTAAATTTTTATTGGTATATTTCACTTTTATTGCTTTTAATACCTGTATATACATTTTAATTAACTGGCCAACTGCATGTCCAGAGGGATTGGACCAGTAGACATTGTAATGAAAATGTTTGTAAGAAAACATGTAATTCTTGACTTAAAAAATTGTATTCTTACTAATAAATTGGGAGCATAGGAATTTCAGTCCATGTTAATCTGACTCCAAAACAATGATTGCTTATACCATACCCCATTGCTACCTTTTTGGTCAGTATAGTCTTTTGACATCTAGGGTTATAGTATCACTTATGCAATACTGTTGCCAGAAATTATCTTTAATTCTTGGAACCTTTAAAAAAATGCATTCTAAAAAATGAAATGTGATTGTATCTTTTTTTTTTTTTTTTTTTGGTGACTGTATCTTAATAGGATTTGGATGATGATTAAATCTAAAGTTTCAAAAATAAAATTATTTAACTCATGAATTTGTTCATCCATAGGTAGTTATTGCCACATAATCTGTCAGGGACTGTTTTGGGCACTGGAAGAAACTGTGGTTAAGAGGGCAGCTTGCATGGAACCTCAGTTGTAGTTGAGATAGTAATAAAACCATTTACTTTAAAAAATCTACCTTTGTCTAAAAAAGATGAATTTTGGTTAAAAAAAAAATCTAAGTATCTATCCTGAAAAGCGCTCAAGGTGAGCTAGGTTTGCAGAGACCCTGTGCCTGGAATCAATGCAAAAGTTACATAGTAATAGCCGAGTGAGCTGAGATTTGACAGTTCAGTTGGAGGTTAGCTAATGAATGTTCAACTGTTGTCTGGTAGTAAAGATCAACTAATTTATGAGTATATTGGCTCTTGAAATTTGAACCATTCATCTTCAAACTCAATTTAGCTCCCTTTAAGTTTTGAGAGCCAAACAACTCTACAGATTTTTAATAAAGGAAACCCCAAATCCACTCCCTTTGTCCCTGCCTCTTGTCCATCTCCCCCAATATCAGAAATTTCTGTTGAATTACTATATAATAGAGAATAGAGCGATGGGAAAGTGGAGGTAGAGAAAAGAACCTCATACAAGTGAATAATGAACTTCATAAGGGAATAAAATACCTCTTTATTTCTAAGGATGTTGCTAAAGAACTTTTAATGAATTAAAACAAAAACAAAACCAAAAAAAACCTAAAGGCTTTTGCAGGAACCACAGATGTTTTTGAACTTATCTAATATACCCTAATGTAACTTCTTTTTACAGATGAGCTATTATAGGCACCATTTGGTTTACCTAATACGTCAGAGCAGAGCTATTTAACTCTTAAGTTATTTGAATGTTTGTCTTGTTTGCTTTCTACACATTTCTCATTTAAAAACTACACAAACTCCCTTGGACTGAGTTCAAGACATAATTCCTTCAGCCAGATTCTAGTGCAAAGTGAATGGTACTTAGGCAGGGTTTTATGTTAAAAGAGTGAACACTGTTTTATTTGACTGCCAGAAGTTTAGCACCAGAAAGACAGTTCACATTTGTATATTTTTAAATACAAGTAAGGCATATGTTTCAAGGGAGGTGATGTAGACCTCGTACTACTTTCCTCATCCAAAATAATTGGTATCTGTGTAAACATTCTGAGTCAGTCAACTGACCACATTAGCTCATCTCACATGAGCTATTACAGAATGAGGTTTTGAATGTTTATGGTTAGTTAATTGAAATGATGTGAGTTCTTTTGAACTTAACCACTAGTATTTATTTTCCTACATTTTGTATATAAACTTTTTAAAATAAAAAATAAACATTTACTTAATATCTTTCCCCCTAATATGTATAACTTTCAAGCTAAAGCTTCTAAACTGTTATTTTCTTTTGACTGTTTTTAAGATTTTTTTCATTACTCATTTTCAGCAATTTTGTTTGTCATATGCATACTTAAAAATGAGTAGCCTTCTTCATAGTTCTCTTGCTTGAAATTCACTGAGCTTGTTGGCTCTATGAATTTAAGGTTTTCTTCATATATAAAAATTGTACAGCCCTTTTTTCAGACTTTTTTTTTATGTGCCTCCTTTCTCTTGTTTTGGACTCCGGTAACACGTATGTTAGATTGCTTAATGTTGTCCCACTAGTGCTGAGGCTCTGTCCTACTCCCCAGTCTTTTTCTCTTGGATTCATTTTGGATTGTTTGTATTGCTATATCTTCAGATACACTGGTGCTTTCTTGTACCACATCTAATCTGCTGTTATTTCAGTCAGAATATTTTTCATTCAGGTATATCTGGAGTCATTTCCGGTCTGTATATGTTGGCTTTTCTCCTTCTTTGGATCATATTTTCTTTGTGTCTTTGGTAATTTTTGATAGGATGGCAGACATTTTGAATTGTATTTATTGGGTGTTGGACTTTTTAAAAAATCCTTTAAATAAAGTTGGATTTTTTTCTAACATTTAATTGTTACTGTTATTTGGATGGAATGTAAACCAATAATGTTTCCAATTAGAGTGAGTACCATCTTGACTAAGTTAAGTAAATTTTAAGAAAGTACAAAATGTGTAGTTTCACCATGGAGTAATGCCTGTCATAAAATTCATGTTAATTATAAGTAGAGCCTGGTAGCACCACATGACATTTTTCCTAACTCATTTTCTGTGATGCATAATGAGTAAGAAAGGATGAAATGTATTATGCTGTCTTATTTTGATGTTTATGACGGTACTTATCTTCATTTCATTGTGCTTCTGTTTATTGTCAATGTGAAATTATATAGACATATCTTAGCTGTTGTAAGAGATGGCAGATTTGGAAATAAGAGATTGCCAGCTTCTGTAGAATTAGTACAAGTATTTGTTCTACTTTTATTTAAGGAGTACAGCCACCTGAATAGGTAGCTGCATTTAAACCTTATTTCTAATTTTTGAGTAGTTTAGCTTGTTTTAGTTAGCTTCTGGGACATGTAACTTGCATGTCTTACTTGTGTGCACATATATTTGGGAGTGTGTAGGTGCATGATAAAGTATCTAAAACAGTCTTTAAAAAGTACAGTAATTTAAAAAATCAGTCTTCGGGGCTGGGGATGTAGCTTAGCGGCATAGCGCCTGACTGGCAAGCTCGAGGTCCTGAGTTCAATTCCTGGTACCAAAAAACCCAAAAAAGTCTTTGACCTCTCAAATATTTTTTTAAAAATAAATTTTAGTGATGTAAATTTGTGTAGTTCTGCAGAATTTCTATTTTTCAGAAGATAATTATTTTCTAAAGTTTTGTGTAGTTTAAGAATAGTATCATATATCTTATAGTGGGGTTTTTTTCATGGTTTTGAATTAGCTTTGGTTTTATGACAAGGTATAAAATGTCAGGAAGGAAACTGCTGGATATAGTATGGAGTTATATTCATAAAATATGAACTATATTTCATAAAGCATATTCAGGATTAGGTACACTATGATGATATACAATTTGGGAAGAATTTCATGATTGATTCCTTCTAGCTCATTGTTTCAGAATTGTATTTGCCCTCTGTTTCTATGACTAAATTTTTAAAAATTAATTTTATGGTACATTTTAGATGTACATAATGATAATATCCTATGATTAAATTTTATTTTACTAATTTTTCAAAAATAGAACTTTATTGCAATAGTGATGTTATTTGTGAAACTAGCTGGAGATAGAGAATTGATAGGCAATATTTTCAAAGAAAAAGTTAATGAAGAGTTAGTTGCATTTTGAAAGTGAAAAGTGATTTATTCTTCTTTCACAGCATCCTCAATCCCTGCACTGAGCTCTACTGTGCACTGTGGCCCCCCTTCCAGGTTTTTAATTGTGTTAAAATACACATTAGCATAAAATTTACTGTCTTAAACATTTTAAGTGTCTGTCTTAAACGTTTTAAGTGCCCAGTGTTGTTAGGTAGATATGTAATGTCTATTCTATTAGAGTCTTAGAAAAATTGACCCGCCAAACTTTTTGTGTCAGTCCTGTGTGCTTTTCTGCTTGGGTCATAATGAAATGTTCTTGTTCTGCTTCTGCCCTGTCTTTGCCCTTGTGGTGGTGGTGCTGGTGTGGTGATGAGGCTCTGAAGTTTGGGGCAGGACTGAATGTGCCTGTCATCAGTTAAGCTTGTCAGCAGCTAATACATAAATCCGTTTTTTGTACTGTCTGATTTGAATCTTTTAGTCCTCTATTGTTTTTTCCCCTTAATCTTTACTTTTTTTGTTGTAAACTTCACTTGATTTAAAAATAGGTCTATATACTTTAGAAACAGCATATCAGTTCTACCCAGTTATATTCCTGTTCAGAGTAAGAGTGGCAGCAATCACTGTCATTTTTATCTTTTCTTTACCTCTCTTTTTTTCTACAACCAGTATTCTTGCTCCTTTGGAAAAAAAGTTCTGCTGAAGATACATACAAGAAAAGTCTTACAAAGAGTTCTTTAAAAAATTAAGTAATTTGACTTTGAATTTTAACTCACATAATATGTTGCTGAATGTTTACTTATTGTCTTTCATAGGCAAGAGTGCATATTGGGAGATTCAGCTTGCAAGAGTCCTGAGTCAGATCCAGAGTATTTTTCTGATGAAACAAATACAGAAAATCTTTACAGCACTTCTCCCCCCAGCACTCCTCGCCAGATGAAACGGATGTCAGCCAAACACCAGAGGAATAATGTAGGGAGGCCAGCCAGTCGATCTAATCTGAAAGGTGAGTCTTATACTTAAAAAGATATACATGAAAGGACATGACAGTTTTGGTACATAATCTTTGTATGACATGTAGCTGTTAATTAATCCTTTCTATAGTAATGTTTGTAATTCCTTTCATTTTAAATTTGATTTTAGTGCTGCGTTTAAATTTCGTTAATTTTTGAATCATTACCTTTAGTGATACTGTTAATAGAGAAGACAAGTTATAATCCAGATAGAAAGGTTTGTCCTGTGTTATGTCAGTGATGTGAGGCATTTGAAGATGTGAAAGAGGCAAGTGCTTTCTATTATACTAACTCAACATGGCAGTATATGGGATAGATGGCCCTCTCTTACTATTTCAGGATTCTGTCTGGCCAGAAATGGTATATTGGGGATTTGGGAAGAGACAGAGTCAGGCTTTCTTCTCTGGATTCCCTAGGTAGCCTGAAACCTCTGTCATCTGCCAGTGATTCACAGTGCTTCCGTCAGTGTGTAGGGCTGTCTTTCTTGCCAAGCAGCCACTGGATGGTACCCCACATCTTGTAACCATGGACAAAACCTGTTTTCTGCCTTTGTCTTTGTGTAGGATCCCAATGCCCAGTTAGCATCTTGCTCATGGAAGCTGAGAATATGGCTGTTTCTGTTTCTTACTCCCTTTTAGTAGGTCCTAATGCCTCTTTTTTGAGGTAAGTGAATTAAATCATGTTGATCTGGTGCTTCGTTGTGTCCTACATATGGCTGGGAACCTTAGGTTACTGTTTAGAGTTTCCCTGTAGCAAACCACTTGCCCTAAAGCAGATCCCATAGTTTTCTGGGACTCATCCACCTATTACTGCACAAGATGAGGATTTTGTTTTTTATCTCATCTGAGAAATTTCTCTGTTGACCTCAAGCTCATTCCCATGTCTCCCTTTCCTTAGCCAGGTTTTTTTGTTGAACTTTGGTCAATTTCCTCTCCATACAGATTTTTTTAGTACATTGATCTCTCAAGGTTGTAGGTTGGCTTGTTCGTTCTGCATTCCCATTGGTGCCTTTCCTAAAGAAGGGAAGAGGCAAGAGAGATGGGTTTCAGTGTACTTCTGCTTGAGCAAGTCTTATCCAAGAAAGAATTCCTAGCCAGCAAAAAGTCTTTCTTCTACACAGATTTTCCCACAGTGGATGATTTTAAAATTTTCTTTTAAAACTTTACTTGCTGTAAGATGTTAAATATCTTACTTACATACTCAATTGGAAACCAGTAGTTTACCATTGTAGTTTGTCATCTTGAATGAAAGTCAGCTCTTGCCCATTTTTTCAAAGAAATTTCTCAAATGGCTACTGGACTTTCTTACCTAAAATAGATACCAGGAAAGTACTATCTACTGGTATACTAGTTAATAAATACTTGCTTTATGTTGGTAAAATCACTTGTTGATCTATACTGTTTTAGAACAGTAAAGAGCACAGTTTTCCTATTACATAGATTAAGAAACTGAGGGCTGGGTGTATAAAGTAACTTTTGAATGCCAGAAGTCTTGAGCAAGTGGAAGGACTGTTTTCACTACTGGTTCTTGTGATACTCAATTTGAACTTTTTCCTAGTACAGGCAGCAGGGAGTAAGCTTGTCTGAAGGCAGTATAGTACCTGAGCTGAATATACCATCTTCACTAATCAGGTGACCAGACACCAGGCATTTTTGAGCTCTTGCTGTTCTTCTGGGCTGTGTGGGTGATAGAGGGAAGAGGGAAAGTTGTCACTTTCCCTTCTCAACTTCCTTTGTTTCATAAAATATTAGAGCTGGAATTTTAGATCTAGAAGGAATCTGAAACTACTTAAATGCCTGTTACTTCTCAGATGAAGAAGCTAATCCTTACAGAAAACTAAATTTATAGCTATTTAATAGCAGACTAATAACACCTTAATAACCCCTTTTTCTTATCACAAAAAGTTATATTTGTTGGGCAAAATTTAAACAATACAGACAAAAAAGAAAAGAATCACCCATAAACCCAATATATAAAAATAATTTCTTTTTTTTTTTTTGGTACCGGGGATCAAACTCGGGACCTCATGTTTGCGATGCAAGTGGCGAAACCATTGAGCTGAATCCCTGGCCATAAAAATAATTTCTTTTACCATCTTAGCTGTGGTCTCTTTACTTGTGTTATGGCTTGTGTCTAGATGTCCCCCTAAATCCTCATACACTCATAGGTGGGGCTTTTGGAAGATGGTTGAATCATGGGTGTGTGATACTGGGATTAAAAGTGTGTGCTACTAGTTTAGTCCACTGATTGGATTAATATAGTTCTAAATGTGGCTGAATGGATTTACTAAAGAGGGAAGCCCTACCCTGGGTACGGGTGCCACCAACCAATAAATAGGCTTGTAGCCTGGATGAAACATAAAGGGAAGGGGAGACTCACTGCTGCTGCCTTCTACCTGCTGTACCATGGAGTGTTTGTCTTCTGCCATACCCCTCTGCCATGCCACTCTGCATTGGAGCCAGCTGAGTATGGACTGAAACCTCTACAAACTGAGATGAAATAAATCTTTAGATTGTGAGTATTGGGTATTTTGTCCCAGCAAGGAAAAGTAACTTAAGTCAGCTTGCCTGTATTTTTGTTGTCATACTATATTTACTATTTGATGACTGGCTTCTTTTTTTTATTTAATGTTTTATGAACTTCTTATGTCACAGAATGACTTGTTCTCTTAATTTCAGTGGCTCTTATATCATTTACCTATCTAGCAGCATCTTTGTGGTTGTCATTCATACTGTGTACTCGTGACTGTGCTTAGCACTTCAAAAGATTATCTTTCAGATATGATAATTCAGTGAGATGTGCGTCCTATGTAATATTCATTTTACATTTGAGGAAACCTGGCTCAGAGTGTTTCTAGGGTTTTCACTTTTAAATATCTCAGCCATGGATGTATCAGAAAGTAGCTTCACATGTTTCCCCTCCAGTGAATTATTTCTTACCAGATTCTTATTCATGAATACCTAGAAGTGATGGAAATGACGTATGCATGTTGGACAGTTGGACCATTTTAATGTTTTGGTAAAATGGTATTTGTTGGTGGGGATTTAGCTCAGTGGCACCGGGCCTGCCTTGCAAGTGTAAGGTCCTGAGTTCGATCCTCGGTACCAAAAAAAAAATGGTATTTGTATTATGATGGTAAAATAGTCCTCGAGAACTTATTTGCTCTCAGAATTTAGCAGCATAAAGTACACACATGATTGCCAGGTGGCTTGGATTCCAACCTGGGCCTCCCACAGTCTGGATATGCAACCTCTGTGTCTCATTCACTTTATCTGTAAAATAATCTGACTTACTGTAGTGTATAGTGAGGTTACATATCCTGTAAATGTGACCTACCATTGTTATTATTGCAAACTACTGATTTACCCCAATACTACTTTTTCCTTAAAGTAAAATTAAATCTTAAAATAAAATTAAATATTACAGTGCTCTTACAGTCCTATTAATTTGTGCCTCTGTTTTCAGGACACTGAGCCTTAGATTAAGTGATTAATGTAGCTACTTTGCCTGTGACTATCCTGCTGGGACTATGTATTTCCTTCTGTTTCTTCCTTATGTTTTTTTCTTTTTCTCATCATAGATGCAGTACTGTAGTTTTTTGTTGTTGCTAAATCCTTTTTCTTTTTCCCTCTTTTCTTCCTTCCTTCTCTTGTTCCCCTTCTCTTTTCTTCTTCCACTATCTGTCCTTACTCCCTTTTCATCCTTTCCTCCATCTCTTCTACCCTTATTTCTCTTTCATTCCTTCTATTGAATCAAAATCCGTGTGACTCCATAAGCATGTGCTATTTTAGATGATGAATAGGACCTAGTTCTATCTCTAGTTGAGAAGACACAAATAACAGGGAGCACACCCTGGTGTGGCAGGGCTGGGATGGAGGCTACTGAGGATGCACACAGGACAGGGTATTGAGGAGACCAGGGTTGGGAAGACTTCTGGAACAAGTGACATTTGTGCTATGACCTCAAGGCTGAGTCAGAGAGACCGAGATTTCATACTAGCATATGATTCATAATAATAAATTGGTCCCTTGGTATTTTGAAGAGCTTTTTAGAATTAATTAGATTGGTCAGATTTATTCTCAAAGCTTTCCAAGCAAATGTGAACTGGCACATTCTTTCTCATTGCAACAAGCAAAGGGTGTCTGAATCATACTGTTAACTTTAAGGCTACATTCAAAGTTGGACTCCCCTTTTTTTTTTTTTTTTAGTACTGGGGATCAAACTTGGGACCTTGTGCTTGCAAGGCAGGCGCTGGAACCACTGAGCTAAATCCCCGGCCTGGACCCCCTTTTTAACAAATAATCATTGTTAATATTTACATTATTCTGGTTGTCTACTGCCATGTCACAAACCACCTTGAAACTTTGTGGGGTGAAAGTGCAGTCATTTATTGCTCACAGTTATGTAGTTCAGGTATTTAGGCAGGCCACAGGTCATCTCTGCTCTCTGATGTCTGGAGCAGCTCCACTGGCTGGCACTGCTGCCCTTGCTTGACGGGGGCCCCAAACCTGAGCCTTCAGTCCCTCCCAATATGGTCTCTTCTGTGACCCATTCATCTAAGGTGTCTCCTTCATTCCTTGTCTGAAACTGGCCTGAGTGGCAAGAACTGCATTCTTTACATGTGGCCTTCCACAGCTGGCCTGGGCTTCTGCATGCTATCCTGGTCCCTGGGAAATTAGCCTTATGTGATAGCTGACTTTTCTCAGATCAAGTCTTTAAGAGACCAAGCTGGAAGTTGCAAGACTTCTGTGACTTGGCCTCAGGAGTCAGGCAGCATCACTTCTGCTACATTCTTTTAGTGTCATAGCACTGGCCACATGCAGTGTGGGAGCATACTACACAGAGTAGTAGTATTAGGAAGTTGGTTCATTGGCTGTCTGGGGAGGCTTTGCTTAGATGCCTTCGTAGTAAAGCTTTTGGAATTCGTATCCTGTCAATTGAACTGTCTTTGCTTTCTTCATCTGCTTTCCCTCATAACTGCAAAAAATATCAG